CTTTGATGCTGTGTCATGTGACTCCAGGTCTGGCTCATTCAGGCCCGGCAGCAGCAAGAACAGGCAGACAGGAGGAGGAGCACCGTGTTGTTGTGTAACGATGTGCTGGATTTTATCTCAATTAATAATCTAAAGAGAAAGAAAAATTTTATTCAGATTTAGCAGGATGATCCATCATCCATTATCTTAACTGGTGTCCACGTCCAGCAGTCAGTGTGGGAGAGGTGGGGGTCACCCTGGACACATGGACACAAACCATTCTCACTAATGTGGCGCCAAGCGTAAAATAAAATGTTTAAAAAAACGTCACTGACACATTTTCATTATTTAGCTCACATTTTGCTAATGTTTGCTAAATATTAAATTTAAATGTTACTTGAAAAGTTAAAGTTAGATCTTAAATGTTGAAGTTTACATTTAAAGATTTCAGAATGGAACGCAGCCTTTGCTGGTTGTGCGCTGCTCTTGTTATGACATCATCATCCCAATACGAAGCAACCGCTAACACTGCTAACTTTACTAATGCTGCTAATGTTGATAATTGCTAATGCTGCTAATGACGCTAAGGATGTTAATTGCTAATGCTGCTAATGCTGCTAATAATGCTAATGATGCTAATGCTGCTAATGATACTAATGCTACTAATGCTACTAATTATGCTTATTGCTAATGCTGCTAATGATGCTAAGGATGCTAATTTCTAATGCTGCTAATGATGCTAAGGATGTTAATTGCTAATGCTGCTAATGATGCTAATGCTACTAATTATGCTAATTGCTACTGACGCTAAGGATGCTAATTTCTAATGCTGCTAATGATGCTAATGCTGCTAATGATGCTAATGCTGCTAAGGATGCTAATTGCTAATGTTGCTAATGATGCTAATGCTACTAATTATGCTAATTGCTAATGATGCTAATGATGCTAATTGTGAATGCTGCTAATGATGCTAATGATGCTTAGGTTGCTAATTGCTAATGCTGCTAATGATGCTAATGCTGCTAATGATGCCAATGCTGCTAAGGATGATAATGCTGGTAATGTTTCCCTACAAGACATCAAACTTGAAAGTGGCATTAGCGGTTGCTTTTGTCACAGGAAGAAATTAATGCTGCTAATGCTCCTGATGCTAATGATGCTAATTGTTAATGCTGCTAATGATGCTTAGGATGCTAATTGCTAATGCTGCTAATGATGCTAATGCTGCTAATGATGCCAATGCTGCTAAGGATGATAATGCTGGTAATGCTTCCCTACAAGACATCAAACTTGAAAGTGGCGTTAGCGGTTGCTTTTGTCACAGGAAGAAATTAATGCTGCTAATGCTCCTGATGCTAATGTTGCTAACGCTGCAGAAGACAGCGTTGAAATTTTTTTATCAAAATGTGTACATTGAAAACAGTACAGATGGTAGCTGTGGTCCGACAGTTTGAAGTGCAGCTGGAGCACCGGCCACAGCTGCAAGGTTGATGTCCTGTAGGGAAGCGTTAGCAGTGTTGACAATATTAGCAGCGTTAGCAGATGGTTTTGTCTCAGGATGATGACATCATAACAAGAGCCGAGCACCTGTGAAACACTGTACACTTCAACATTTTCATTTATTTATTAAATTAATATTTATTATTTAACTATTAAATTTAACATTAAGTAAAAACGTATCAAAAGTAAGAACAGCAAGGTAAAAAAAAACAATAAATACTTTGTTAGTAGATTTTTATTAACTAGGATTTTACACTCAAAGTGAGCTAAATAATGAAAATGTTTTAGTGACATTTTGTAACATTTTATTTTACACTTGGTGCGTCATACTCACACCTAGGGACAATTTAAAGGAGTTTATTCAACATGTTTTTGATGGGTTTGAGAAAACACCTGGAAAAAACCCATGCATGCATGGAGAGCATCACTTTAAGTATTAAACAGTATTTAATTTGTGATATTTACTTTGTATTATATCAAAACCAAACCCTGTAGTACAGTATCGTACACAATAAAAACACGTTTAAATTATTATTATTATTATATTTGTTTATATCACTGTCAGGCACTTTGGGCAGAGCTAATCTTTGAAAACACGAGTTTGTGGGACGTGTCTAATTGCTGCAGCATGTGTGTCTGCTGCTC